TACAGAGCCTTCAAGATGTTAACAAAATTTTCAGGAACACTCTTCTTTAACAGTCAATCCCCTAGAATAGTCCCATCCAACGAATCGAAGGCAACCCCGGGTGCAAAAAAAATAGATTGTTCGTCTGCGATTAGTATGGCGTTATTCTAATATTTGACGGAAGGTAAAAAATATACGACCAATACATTCTCAACCAGAAAGAAAAACAGCCTTCGCGCGAGTCTATCTTTTTCGGGTTTTGAACAATCTGTGTAAAACGACGAAAGCCTACAATTTAGACGTAATTAGTAGTAGACTTGTCTCCTGATAACTGTTACATAGGTGACATGAACCTTTCTTAAAAATCGGGACAACTATCAATTCAATCTACGATGCTGGAACATACCAATTGTCGAACGGTTGTAAACAACTCAGTTAGTCTCATAGCCAGGTGGCCACCATCTTTAAAAGGCACCGGGGGATACTTCATCTGTTCCCGATTATTCGTGGTGCGTCAAGAGTCGGAGTTTCTTGCGAACTTTTGTTTCGTTACGTGGATCAACTGTCATTAGTCATGGAGGACAGAACAGTCTGATTGATGTAAACGAGGCAGCAGACTAGCTGGTCTGTTCCTCAAGAAACTCTGTGGATGTTTTGGATTGGTGTCCCATCAGCTTCATAGATTGTTCCACTCACACCAGACTTCTTGCTGCCAATCGCTTGGATAAGTCGAAAGAGCTTATGACAGTTACCAACCAGATGCAGCTACTGTTTCCAACTTGGTAGTAGGTTCAGACCACCCTATTTCCCGGTCCTCACACAAAATTTATACCGTTTGATTGTCTTCTCCTAACGTCAAACACACGGTTACCCGGAGTAGACCGACGTGCCTCAGCGAGTTGTGAGGAGATTATAGAAATCCAGTATTTATAGTTGGGACGTTTCGCGGAACCGCAAGCAATTTCACTTGTCATTTTCAATGCGTTGTGCAGCCAAAGTTCATCTGTAATTTTCAGTGGATCGATAGCCATAGACCTAGCTTGGTTTGATATTTAGTTGTAACAGAAGCTGAAATCAATTTACTGATATCAATCCATTTAGGACGATGAAGTTGTTGTCCACTTAAACGTAGGATAAGACTGTTGCAAACAAGGGCATCATCAGAGTCCAGATAAATACTTCAGAAGGAATGAAAGTCTTGTACACAACCACGCCGGTGGTCGATATAGGTCCAGGCTTCAGATATACAGAGAAAAAGAACGACAGTTAAAGCGCCGGACATTTATTCATTTAGTAAACAGCAACATTCGATCCAGTTCTTAGTGAATCAACAGTATCGAACTTACTTGAAAACCTGGAGATTCTGTTCCTTAATATCTTGTGGAATTCGGTAAGGACATTAACCAAGGGGTCCTAAGAGAAGAACAGACAGGTGTCTAATATTATTATTATTATCCCCAAATGCCCTGACACTATTGAAGATAGGAATAGTCCTTTCTCCCTCTTAAAACTCTCGTCATACTCATTACTTCCGCTAGGTGAAAGCACTTTATACGAAAACAAGATCACGACCAGCGAACATTTGCTGCTTAAACCGAACTGGTTCATAGAGAAAATCTACCTAGAGGAGCCGGTAGTAGTATACATGAGATTCAGGATCTTGGGAGAGTGGGTTGAATATGAATGCGTTGGTCATCTGCTACGCTTAGTTGCTTCACCTCACACACACATATGTTAACGAATAATCACAAAGGAATATGTTATGTTCGTCACTAGGTACGCTTGAAGCTATTACGAGTTCACCTTAGTCGATAAACGCGAACGAGACAATGGACCAGCGTCCAGGTAAACTACCTTGAATCCCAAGCTGTAAAACAGAAGTCTTGGTAAGTGTAGAAAGGTATATTCTACAACAAACACCCAACAATCACAATACAATCAAGCACACAACTCTCGTTTATTTATACATCATAGAAACGTCCTTGGGACAAGTACGAAAATAGCACACTGAAATACACAGCAGCCAATCACAGTCATGGCTTTTCCAGGTGGGAAATGAAACCTCAAGGTCAACTGATCAGCCCATGCTGGCAAACGTGAAATCCAAAATAAGGCATTTATCAAGCGAGTTCTGGGGATCTAACATCCCCAACAAAATTGCTACAATCTTTCCGCTTACCTACTACCTACTCAAAAGTACTCTCTTCAACATGAATTTAGTGTAATCCGCTAAAACTACTTATTTTATTTGATTGTCATTCTGCGTATACTTTTGAAATCTAACTTTATTTTGTAAAGTTAATCCAGTCAATAAATTTTACACATTTTTTTCGAAACCATGAATCGATCAATGTTAGACCACCATTAGAAACCTGCAAGAAGCACTGAAAGACGGCCGTTTCGTCCTGGTATGGGACTCTTCAGCAGTGCGCATCCACGACTCCTGCACCCCGCAGGATTCGAACGTAGGACCTTCGATATTGTAGGCGAACGCCCTGACCGTTAGACAGCTGAGCCGGTGTCTAACGGTGTTAATGTCTAACTTGATCAATTCACGGAGTTGCGCAACCTCATACACAGTCTTCGGTAGGCACTGTCTACACCCGAACAGGTTGAACTTCACTGGTCACGTCTTCCCACTAGAGGAACTCGGAGAAGATTCCTCACGAAGCTAGTCACTAGTGAGCACAGGTAATTTACACTACGAGGTTGTTGTGAAGATTGTTAAGTTACACATTTTTGAAACCATGATCTAACATTGATCGATTCATGGTTTCAAAAATGTGTAACTTAACAATCTTCACAACAACCCGTAATGCAAATAAATTTCACGTCACAATAACAAATAAATGAATAATTATACAATAATTAGAAATTAATCAAATAAGTTCATTATTTTCACAGAAAATAATTTCAGACTTGCAAAATTCACCCAAAAATTAATGACTTTAAAAAAACAAAAACACACACTTTCCTAATCCATCCATTTATAGAGACAGACTGTATGTAGTTTTTGAGTTTGCCCCATAAAAGTAGTAAGTATCAAGATAAATAGTTGTTTAATTTTTACAAAACATTAGTTTACAGCCCTTTTCACGTTTTAGTTTATGATGATATCAGTCCGTCAGTCAGATGCAACGTAGAACTTCGTACGTAAGTACATCAGTTCATGTTGCCATACCACATCAGCACACAGAGATGTAATTGTCAATTCAAATCCAATAGTAGAAGAGGTAGTAAAGGTATTAGAAGTAATCGAAGAGGTTACGATTAGAAGATATTATTCAACAAGTATGATTCAGTGAGATAAGTTTAGAAAGTCAAAACTAGAGGTGTTGAAGAATCCAGAAGATTAGGATTTCAGAGAACACAGAGGATAAATGCACCGGCGCCATTGCGAACGATTTTGAGCCATGTCATTCAAGATCTCTAACCATCGATTATTATCATCTCGCGGACCCCAACCAGGTAGTTGACAACTACCAATATGGCTAAGTCCACTCGTCAATGACTTCATTGATTCCTGCATGTTTTGGTTTGACCGCCCCTAGCTTACTTCCAACCTACTCCTTCACCACAAAACAAAGCTCTTCGAGGCAGTCGGTGGTTGGACATACACAACACATGTCCCAACCACCTCAACTGATGAAGTTTCACCACTTCATCTGTCGATTTGCCATCCTTACCTAGTGCTCGTTTTCTAACGACAGCATTGCTTACTCGGTTGTCCCACAGGTATACGAGCAATGCTTCGAAGGACACCTATGATCGAAAACCAGTAACCTACGAATATCTTCTACTCTCACTGGCCATGTTTCACAGCCATATAGGAGAACGGAGCGAACTGCTGCACAGTACACTCGTCCTTTAGTCAGCAAACGAATATCACGCCTACGCCATAAGTGATGTAGGTTTGCAAAAGCCAATCGAGCCTTCTGTATCCGAGCTGACATTTGGTCACTCACCAGGCCATCAGCATTGATGAGACTCCCCAGACAAGTGAAGCGGTCTACACGCTCGACTACTTCACTCCCTATCACTAGTTCAGGTGCCGATGCAACCCAATCTTGAAGCAACATTTTGCATTTCGAGGGTGAGAACCGCATCCCGAACATGCTTGCATTGTTACTTAGGATAGTCAGAAGACTCTGCATTTTGTCAGCATCTTCACCGAATAGAACATATATGTCATCGGCATATTCTAAGTCAATAATCGAGCAACCTGGTAGAAGGTTTACTCCTGAAAATTCAGACGAGAATAAGGTTATTTCTAGGAGCATGTCTATGATAAAATTAAACAAGAATGGAGAAAGTGGACATTATGATAGTATATATGTATATATATACGTTTGATAGAGAATTTCGTACAAAAATAATAATCCTAAATGAGAATCTTAATTTATCAGGCAGGCAGTTATTGATTCTCCTTATTCCATCTTCCTGAACAGTGAGTTCGAGAACATTTACCTGAAAATAAACGACTAGTAATTGCATTTATACTGGAACTTCTTGGCAATCCACTAATCAAAGGTAATTGTTTATTAAAATGTTTCAATCGTTCTATAATCGATTCACCGCTTAATTGAATATTATTCATTGATGAATTCAATTGATATGATTTTGGACAAGGACATTGGCTTGTTTTATTTGTTGATGCAAATGTCGGTCGAATAATTCGTTCAATTAAATCATTTTCTTGTTTTCTATTACGTAAATGAAGCGTTTTATGTGTAGGTTCATTAGTTGAATGATAATTAACTACACCTAAAGGTGTTTTTAAGCATGAATTTTCATCACACACAACACATACTCCACGACATTTCAGTCTACTAGAAGTAGTTGGACGTGAAAGATATTCAACTTTATGATTAATTTGTTGTAAATTATCCCAACGTTGAATATAGCTGTTTGTTTTAAAACAACCAGTTCGATGATCGAATAAACTAGATCTTAAATTTGGATTATTGAGTTTTGATATTTTCAAATTTTTGTAAAAACGTTTCTTTGAATAATCATCATCTTCATTAATATTATGTCTTTCTGATAATGTAGCTAATAAAGCTTGACTTTCTGCATGACGTGCTAAAGATCCAGCTGTATTTGCACTATGTAATCGTCGAACAATTTGATTAATTCGATTCCATTCCACTGGTTCACGCAGTGTAGTCGATCGATGATGTGGACTAGTAGTAGCACTAGAACAATGACACTGGGTATTATGCCTTATCCAATTAACATTATCTTCTTTTAATAAGATTTCACCACGTGGACATGCACATAGTGGAAGCAATGGATTGATTGGTTCAGTTCTATTCCATAATTCTGTGAAATGCTTTAATCGATCTGAAACATTTTCATAATCATCAATAGATCTTAGATCGATAAGACGACTTGAAGAATTCGATGTGGATAATGATGATGGTGATGATGATGAAGTGATTCGATTAGTTAATGTTAAATCATAATGATTAGATTCTTCGATAAGATTGATTCTATTCTTCTTGTCATTAGTGTTTACATTGTGATAATCGCTTCGATTCGATAAGTTAGATAATTGATTTTGAATAAAAGAGATTGTAGGTTTACTAAGACGTTCAATTAATTTTTTCTCCTCTTCTGCATTGATAGTTTTATAACCATAGAATTTTGGTACTGGTAAATAATAATAATCAGCACGAGATCTGTATAAACTACACGCCATTGATAATTGAATACTACTTACTAATAAATATCACAATATATATATCACATTGTGATAATAGTTTTTGTGTGATTAGATAATTGATTGAGCGAAAAAAGATATATTCGACATTACCAATGAAATATTTGATTTATTCAAACCAATCATAATAAAGCTGTACAATGTCAAGGTGAAGGTCGTCACCGTATAAAAAAAAAACAAGTTAATTTACTAACAAAAACTTTGAGCGGTTTTGATATTGAACTTTTACGATACGATCATAAAAAAAAGAAATTAATATGCATGAAGAGTTTATATTTATAGTTCAGTTGGATAAAACGTTAACTAATAATGAAATAAGATATTTTGGGGCACAGTTTTGGAAATTTGCGTTTTTACACATTTGAAATCACCAATCGATCAATGTTAGACCACCATCAGAAACCTGGAAGCACTGAACGGCCGTTTCATCCTGGTATGGGACTCCTCAGTGGCAGTGCGCACCCACGACTCCTGCACCTCGCAGGATTCGAACCCGGGACCTTTGGCATTGTATGGCGAACGCCTTACCATCGGACCACTGGGCCGGCATCCAACAATGCCAAAGGTTCCGGGTTCGAATCCTGCGAGGAGCAGGAGTCGTGGATGCGCACTGCCACTAATGAGTCCCATACCAGGACGAAACGGCCGTCTTTCAGTGCTTCCAGGTTTCTAATGGTGGTCTAACAATGATTGATTGATGATTTGAAATGTGTAAAAATAAAATATGTATTTTATGGCTTACAAAAGAAAAATGCAACATCAGTTATAAGCGTGTGTGCTGATGATGATGTTGTTCAGACGAACACGAACAACCAGAACATCCAGTTCAGAGAATGAAACTCCACTACAAAATACACGCTCTTAACATAAACCGAAATATTTACTGATCAGTTATTTTGGGGCAGAGTTTTGGAGTGCTTCCAGGTTTCTAATGGTGGTCTAACAGTGAATGATTGATTAATGATTTCAAATGTGTAAAAACGCAAACCTCCAAAACTCTGCCCCAAAATATCGTAACAGTGCTTGCTCACTAGTGACTAGCTTCGTGAAGAAATTCTCGGAGTTCTAGTTGAGAAGACGTGACCAATGGAGTTCAACCCTGTCGGGTGTAGGCAGTAACTACCGAAGACAATTGGGTGAGGTCGCGCAAAATCCCTAGATCAATCAGAGTTAGACATTAACAGCGTTGGATGTCGGCCGGCCCAGTGGTCCGATGGTAAGGCGTTCGCGCACAATGCCGAAGGTCCCGGGTTCGAATCCTGCGAGGTGCAGGAGTCGTGGATGCGCACTGCCACTGATGAGTCCCATACCAGGACGAAACGGCCGTCTTTCAGTGCTTCCAGGTTTCTAATGGTGGAGGTCTAACAATGATTGATTGATGATTTCAAATGATCAGTTATTATTGAAGGATACATTTGGATTCTGGTTGTGGCAGTGGACAGTCGATATCTTTCCTAAATTCCGTGTACTGTGTTGTTCGTCTTGACCACCGTCACTACTATTATGAAAATACACGAGTTGTTACCACAATTTCTTTATTATTATTCAAACTATACATAAGGTGATTTGATAAAATCATTGAATTTATGACAAATGTCAAAATAGTCCATACTGTTCTTATCGAATAACTGAAAACGAATAATTATTCAAGTTAGTATAATGAATGAATAAATGGTAAGTAAGGTACAACATACACAGCACAATAGCTCTACGTCCCTAGGCAAACAAACATACAAATGATTATAACATAAAACAGACTTATATGTATAATGTCATCATTAATATTGTCAAAATATGTTCACCAATGTGTAGGAAATAATTGACGTGTATCGAAAATACGATAATAATAATAATAATAGTAATTTGCATTACGGGGTTGTGAAGATTGTTAAGTTACACATTTTTGAAACCATGAATCGATCAATGTTAGACCAACACCATTAGAAACCTGGAAGCACTGAAAGACGGCCGTTTTGTCCTGGTATGGGACTCATCAGTGGCAGTGCGCATCCACGACTCCTGCACCCCGCCAGATCCGAACCCAGGACCTTCAGTATTTGTGAGCGAATGCCCTAACCGACAGACCACTGAGCCGTTATCTAACGGTGTCAATGTCTGACTTGATCAAATTCACGGAGTTGTGCAACCTCATACACAGTCTTCGGTAGTTATTGTCTACACCCGGACAGGTTGAACTTCACTGGTCACGTCTTCCCACTAGAGGAACTCGGAGAAGATTCCTCACGAAGGTAGTCACTAGTGAGCACAGGTAATTTGCATTACGGGGTTGTTGTGAAGATTGTTAAGTTACATACACATTTTTGAAACCATGAATCGATCAATAATAAAAATAATCCACAGTAATTATTCGAATGGTGACAGATTAAGTTGATTTTCGAATTTCTTTTGAATCGTAGAAAAAATGCATTGAGTCGCTCTTACTTAAACGAGTACGCCAATTTGATAAGGGTGTATCTATTATACGACAGCAATGATGTTAAACATACAGTGCAACACCTCATTGTAACACAAAAGGACCACTTAGCAGTTGTCCCTTCGGTCACGCTCCGAGGTCGCTAAGGTCAACGCTAAACCAAACACCTTTTGGGGTCTGTGAAGAAGGAATATGCTTCCACGGTGTGGGTAGCCAGTAAGAAACAACAGCATCTACCGGAATGGTAAAATGCACAGTCTTCTGACTACCATAAGCAACAATGCAAGCACATTCGGGATGCGGTTTTCCTCCTCCAAATGCAACATGCTGCTTCAAGAATGGGTTGCATCGGCACCTGAACTAGTGATAGGGAGTGAAGTAGTCGAGCGTGTTGACCGCTTCACTTATCTTGGGAGTCTCATCAGTGCTGATGGCCTGGTGTCTGACGAAATATCAGCACGGATACAGAAGGCTCGATTGGCTTTTGCCAACCTGCGTCACTTATGGCGTAGGCGAGATATCCGTTTGCTGACTAAAGGACGAATGTATTGCGCAGTAGGTCGCTCCGTCCTACTTTATGGCTGTGAAACATGGCCAGTCAGAGTAGAAGATATTCGTAGGTTACTGGTTTTCGATTAAAGGTGTCTTCGAAGCATTGCTCGTGTATCATGGAACAACCGACTAAGTAACGCTGTTGTTAGAAAACGAATACTAGGTAAGAATGACAGGTCAATAGATGAAGGATTGAAACTACATCTGTTAAGCTGGTTGAGATATGCCTTGTGTATGCCTAACCACCGACTGTCTCATCTTTTTATTTTTAAGATTATTTCACTAGATTCTATTTCGTGAATAATATCTTCGAACCCTAACCTCTCCAAATAATGCGAATACCCTTTACTACCTCCTACTACTTAAGGGATTTGAATTGACAATTACATCTCTGTGTGTGCTAATGTGGTATGCCAAGACGAACTGATGTACGTAAGTACGTACGTAAGTAGGAATATCTACATTGGTATTGATTGATTGATTACTGAATTTATCGGTAGTTTATTGAAGAGAAACTTAAGAATCTTAGTATCCTGATAACATTTTTTGTTCTGAACAAGAAGCATTGACTTCAACTGACATACATCTGCCTTTTTAACGTATTGAAAAACCTAAATTAAAAAGTGCATAAGGAGAGAGACTGACTGACTGACTGACAACATAGAACACTTGATATTCTTTAAAAAGTTGCTCATTATTTGAAAAATAAACAATGAAAAATATCAATAATATTGAAAAACCGGGGTAATTCTAATGTGAAACGTTTAATACTATAAAAACTGACAAAATCAAAACGAAATAAATAATAATCATAAGTGAGAACACACATCTTTTTTTATGGTGTTTCTTCAAGTCTGGCGCGTAAACGAGCTGCATAACCAGTTGGACGTAAATGATAAGGTAATTTTTGTGATTGTTTTTTCAAACTAATCAATGATTTTTGTGAATAACAATGATGTTTAGACATAAGAGGAGGAGGAACTGTAGTATCCGATCCTATGTTGTTGTTGCTGTTGTGAATAAGAGGAGGAGGATGTGATTTCTTAATAAATTCTGATTTACTCTTTCGTAATCTATTATTTTCAGTATTTGGTGGTTTCATCACTACTGAATTCGAAGTATTTGTAGGATGTGGTTTCTTTAAAAAATTATTATTATTATTATTATTATTATCCGGAATAATTGTTGGTCGTTTTGCATAAAGAATATTTGGCATTGTAACTACTGGTGAATGAATCATTTCACATGTTAAATTTATCACATGTTCATAAATATCAGCTAGTTGTTTTAATTTCAATGCAAATTCTGAATTCAACTTTGGAATACGATAAAGACGTGGAAGCCAATAACGTAATGTTAAACGAAATCTATCATTTGGTTGAATTGATTCGATATGCATTGCAAGATAATGAAATAAACGTCCAGATGGAAATAATATCCATGATGGTAGAAAGTTTAATGAATTCGTTTTTCGTTCAGTTGGTAATAATTCATCAAGCAATTGGGTTAATGATCGTAGATAAGTATAAATTGTATGAAGTGATGTGAAATGATGAACAATAGATAAATCCACAGATGGCGATGATGATTTTGATGATGGCGATGGCGATGGCGTTGATGATGGCGATGATCGATCAGATAATTTACTTTTTAAAAATGTAATCAATAATTTACAATGTTCATTAGATTGTTTTTCTGATTCAATAATATTGAAATAATTTGTTATAGCTATGGCTGCAGCAGTTAGAACAATAGAAGAATTACGTAAATCATTACTATTATTATTATTGAGTGAATTGATTTGATGTTGCGTAGTACTAGTAGTAGTAGTAGCAGTAGTAGTAGCACGGAACCAAAATGTTAATGTCAATGCTAAACTTACTATCCATTTCATTTCAGCATTAAAATGAGAAAATGTAAAACCAATTGTACTAGCAAGTACACTATCTGTTGTATCATCATCATCATCATCATTATTATGTTGATTTAAAATGTACGGTTCAATTTGAATTTCATATGTGGTCAGTGTTTGACCAATACAATAATATTCTAAAATATAAGGATTTAAACCGATTAACTTTTGTTTTTGTAACAGTTGTAATTCAATGCCATACAATAGACGATAATGCATCCATCTCAATGGTAATGTAATTTCATAAGCTGATAATAATAATAAATTATTATGATTAGTTGAATTTTCAATTAATAAAGGCATCACAACACCACCTTGACAATAGATAGGAGTTAAAATGAATGGGGCAAGTTTATGTTTGCAATAAAATTGTATTAAACTTGTTGACCAACCTCGTGTAAAATCTACACTACCCAAAATATTACTGAATTGACCTTTGAATAAATTATTTAAACGATATTGCCATAATTTTGTTTCTATTGTAGAATTAGGTTCTTGTGGATTATACACAAAAATTGGAGGATTTAATTGATTTTGTTGAGTTGACGTTTGTGAGTGAAGAAATTCCGATAATTTTTGACCTAAATATACATTTGGAAAATATCCCACTAGCGATTCTGTGAACATTTTTAAAAGATTCACTCTTTCTTTAGAAGAGTAACATTTTAAAATTTCATCGATTGGTATCTGTGGATTGTTATTGGTAAATTGTGAAAACCATGAAATCAGTGTATTAAAGCGTCGAGTTTTATAACTTCCTTTTCCTGAACTATTCATAATCGAATATAAGTGATCGGGGAGTCTTGATTGAGGTATCGAATCTGTACCAAGTAACAAACCAATCAATGGTCGACAAACTGGATGCACTGAATATAAGCGAGATGATGTTGGTACAAATTCATGTGCAGTCAAGAAACGACATGAAGTTTGGCTAGATTGTGATTCTGCATCGATCGGTTCACAGTAACAGTTTTCTTTCAATCCAAAACATTTTAATTTCATAAGTGATAGCGGGATAAAACGAGGCGAGCTATTCGATGACACATGAGGACTACCAACTAGAAAATATTCCGGAGAACTAGCAATGATTGGACAATGAAGATAAGTAGCTAACGAGACACAACTTTGTATTCGAGGATATGGAGATTTTAAAAGTTTGATTTCCATGTCTGTAAGAATGTCCGTCAATACACTTTGAAGGAACATACAATCAGGTATAAGAGATGATTTTCTTTTCTTTATATCATCTAGAGAAGATAGAGATTTTATGGTCGATTGTATTTTTTGAAGTTGACTAGTAAGTTGTAAACCCTGGAATTCCATAAAAAAAAATAATAAATAACGATAGACACAACGTTGATAAAAGGTAAGTAAGTATATTGGTATTAGGAGTTCGATAAAAATTATCTTTCGCGATTTTACATCATATTTTAATCATTGAAATTATCAAAGAACAAGGAAGACGGACGAATTTTGTTATTGAAAACGATGTTTAACTCATTCACGCAATACTACACAATTTAGCATTAAGAACCAACCAATGACGTAAGAATTGCATACTTGTAATTCATTTTATTCCCTTGAAACCCAACCGTAGCTGTTACCTTGACATGGTGATCGGGTTTGCCTGTCGTAATGATCAAACAGAGCTATATTGGTTGGAACATATGTTTCTGAAGGTTCTACCATGCCAGCCAGGTCGATTGGAGAACGGTCAGACTAAAAGCAGTCAGTCAAGGTCTGAGAGCGAAGTCGTGCTGCTGACTGCAGGGGGGTGTAACAGCAGTAAGGTGTTTCTTTTGGACAACCAGCAGCTGCAGCGATGCTGCCTTCTCATAAGGAAGGAAGGGTTTGTAGAAAAGGTCGACCCTAAAAATGTCACACCTCACTCTACCTCACGGATTTCCGTCTCCAGTGGTAAGACCATTCGAAGAGACGAGCTGACACTTTAAAAACTTCCCATTACATGGTCGTGAGTGACCGGCCTCAAGCAGTTGTCGTTTGGGCTTTGTGGTCACGCTCCCAGGTCTCTAAGACCGACATTAGTCTAACTTTCTTTACAGGTTTCGCAAGTAACACCATCCCACAGTGTGGGCATCCGGGAAGTGACATCCGCCCTCATACCCGCGCACCAGCACACAAGAACAATCTGGTCATAATTAAATCCTTCCTTATCTTGAAAAGAGCAGAATTAACACAAATTTATCTTATTTCGTTTAGTTTTTTGACAGCTGCACACGACCTATGTGTGTTAACATAGTTGACATATATATGCATGCGTTTATCATGAATTGAAATCTTTCAAATAAAAATAAACTATCAATTCAAAGAGAAACATAAAAGAAGGTCATCCAAAAATATGAGAAACAAATTAAAATAAGGGACAATGTAATAGAGTGGAGTTTAACATAGATTTCAAAGGACTAGATGATGTTCCATTACTTATGTGCTATATATACTCAGTCAGTCAGTCAGTCAGTCAGATGCAACGTAGAACTTCGTACATACGTAAGTACATCAGTTCATGTTGCCATACCACATCAGCACACAGAGATGTAATTGTCAATTCAAATCCAATAGTAGAAGAGGTAGTAAAGGTATTAGAAGTAATCGAAGAGGTTAGGATTAGAACATATTATTCAAGAAGTATGATTCAGTGAGAAAAGTTTAAAAAGTCAAAACTAGCGGTGTTGAAGAATCCAGAAGATTAGGATTTCAGAGAACACAAAGAATAAATGCACCTGCGCCATTGAGAACGATTTTGAGCCATGTTATTCAAGGTCTCTAACCATCGATTATTATCATCTCGCGGACCCCAACCAGGTAGTCGACAAGTACCGACATGACTAAGTCCACTCGTCAATGACTTCATGGATTTCTGCCATGTTTTGGTCTGGCCGCCCCTAGCTTTCTTTTAACCTACTTCTACACTACTACTACTACTACTACTATACTGAAAAACTTCAATGTATATACTTAAGGTCTTATTTCAAGAAAATGTCTTGAAATAATACTGCTGAAAGCATTCAATCCGCTTGACCTTGAAATGTTTAGAATAGGTTATTTGAATCGACCCATGTAATTGAAGTAAGCGTTGAAGATACTATTTATTACAAATAAATTAACCGAAATGATGATATTCCCTAACATGATGAGTGATTTACCACCCCCCCTCACACAATGGTAATATAAATTACAATTATTTGGTGTGAACTAGGAGAAGTCAGACAATCAAATTAAGACCAAATTTTCTATTTTCATGGCATAAAACTCTGCACAAGTATGAGGAAAAGGAGTCGTGGATGCGCACTGCTGAGGAGTCCCATACCAGGACGAAACGGCCGTCCAGTACTTCTAGGTTTCTAATGGTGGTCTAACATTGATCGATTCATGGTTTCAAAAATGTGTATGTAACTTAACAATCTTCACAACCCCGTAATACAAATTACCTGTGCTCACTAGTGACTAGCTTCGTGAGGAATCTTCTTCGAGTTCTAGTGGTGAGAAGACGTGACCAGTGAAGTTCAACCTGTTCAGGTGTAGACAGTGTCTACCGAAGACTGTGTATGAGGTTGCACAACTCCGTGAATTTGATCAAGTTAGACATTAACACCGTTAGACACCGGCTCAGTGGTCTAACGGTTGGGGCGTCCGCGCGCATTGCTGAAGGTCCCGGGTTCGAATCCCGCGGGGTGCAGGAGTCGTGGATGAGCACTGCCACTGATGAGTCCCATACCAGGACAAAACGGCCGTCCAGTGCTTCCAGTTTTCTAATAGTGGTCTAACATTGATCTATTCATGGTTTGAAATAAAACCTGACAATCTTCACAACAACCTCGTAATGAGAAGGAATCACCAACTCAGTAAATTGTACTCTATATCTTTTTTTTCTGACAGTCTAGTTGACTGTGTCGAGATAAATAGAAACCATATGGATTGGTGATGATTTAGGTGTCGATAAAAAAAAATGGCTAAATTAGTGCCTTTAAATAAAATGCATGTACTGAGGTTATAAATATGTTTTATTCTAACACTAGATGGCAAAATGCTTGTCTCAATTTGTAATTGGATATCAACTAAGTAAAATAAAATGTTGAGTGCATACATCACCTTAACAGCATACTCTCAGCATTTAGAGTAGTTAGAAAACTTGTACATGTACCAATATATTACAGATATTGAAATGCTATTTACACTACCAAGAAATCGTGTGAACTAAACGAGAATACATGATGATTGTAGTTGGATTAATACTAAATGTCTCAAGGTAGCTAGACTGGTTACATCAGTCACAACCACAATTTGCTAAAACCAACACACTAAACTAGTCTTTAATCAGATCTTTCAGGAAAAATCCTTCCACTGTATGGGAAATTGAAGATACTATTAACATGATTTGAAATGCTATCAATCTGTGTTGTATCCACTCAATTTCTATATTTATGACTAATTCCAGTATTCCCTGAAATTTTTACTGTCTTTCTACATGTAACTAAATAGTGTACTAAGATGCTGTATTTTACGTCACCAGATTTCCAATGATACCTGGGGCATTTCTCAAACGTGGGAGAATAACTTGGTTAAATTATTTTTGTTCTTGTATTGGTCAAAATCTGTTAAGAATTTGAAATTTTTAAGGACATGTCAGTCAGTCAGTCAGTCAGATGCAACGCAGAACTTGGTACATAAGTACATCAGTTCATGTTGCCATACCACATCAGCACAGAGATATAATTGTCAATTCAAATCCAATAGTAGAAGAGGTAGTAAGGGAATTAGAAGTAATCGAAGAGGTTAGGATTAGAAGATATTATTCAAGAAATATGATTTAGTGAGAAAAGTTTAGAAAGTCAAAACTAGAGGTGTTGAAGAATCCAGAAGATTAGGATTTGAGAGAACACAAAGAATAAGTGCACCGACGCCATTGCGAAAGATTTTGAGCCATGTCATTCAAGGTCTCTAACCATCGATTATTATCATCTCGTGAGGACATACGTCAAATAAATATATTGTCACATGGTAAACTTACAACTCTTTCACAATCCGAACCAAATAGAAAAGTTGGACAAATTTTGCATAGTTTCATTTCATTTAAAAACTCTTTAAGTTGTACAACATAAGATAAATATTCCCCACCGTATTCTATAGGTAACTTTAAGTGCTCATAGAAATATCCACTGAAGTCCTCGGCATCAATAATGACAACGTTATTATGCAATTGAGATACTTTGAAATTTCCAAACTCATGAAGCAATATATTGTTCAACTCCGGGATAGGCATTATTAAAGATAGATAACAAGCACCTGATCAAATAAGGGGTAAAAGAAGAGATACGTTAGTTCCAAAAGCAACTGACAACAGTTTAAAAAAAAGGTTAGAGAAGAAAAGAAACTTTAGACAGTACTAATTTTGGAGATTTGATTTGTGATCAAGAAGGTTTAAACAATTAACTTATAGTGGTTGGTAAATCTCTTCGATTGAAATACTACTTAAAAGGTTGACTGTTAAACATTTAGTCAGTCAGATGCAACGTAGAACATCGTACGTTTAAGTACATCAGTTCATGTTGCTATATCACATTAGCACAGAGATGTAATTGTTAATTCGAATCTAATAGTAGTAGAGGTAGTAAAGGTATCTAATAAGAGAAATAACTAGCAAGCAAATTCTGTAAGACATTTGATTTCCACTCACTAAACCCTAGGTTCTCAAATCGCTCCACCGATTTCAGTTCGAGCAGCAGTCACACTTATTGTGGGTTATACCTAAGTAACTGGTGAATGAGTTAATAAATAGTTAATTATAATCATACTAGTATTTCTTCCGAAGTATATAAATCTTAATTTTTATGAATTACAAGGCTACACATGTCAGGAGCTTTTACCCGAGACCGCCGGACGTTAAACTATTGTCAATTCGTTGAAAATGTTTGTCCAAAAATATAACTGAAATACTTCACACGACTGTTAGTTCTTCAGTAAAATATCAACAGCGCAGTCAACATAACCGGATGGAGTTCGTATAAGTCGTGTTAATTTCTTACATTTTACACATCAAATCACCAATATAAATATTAACCTGTATTTCCGAATGTGAAGTTTAATTTAAGATAATGTACACGCTCCTGTCTCCAACGAATTATTCTTTAATAATTATTGGTATAGGTTAAGGGAAATTCTAACTATTCAAATCACATTCGCTAATGTAATCTGTCACGTGAGCGAAGCATTAGTGTGGTCCTCTACCTTCTGTCAATATGTTCGTTTCGAAGTGGATGTGACAAATAGCCATCTGAAGCTGGCGCAACATTGTCTATCAGGTATGTGCAACTTGATGATAAGTTGTATGCAAGGTTGTAAAAATCAATGCAAAGTGAAAGAACTGCACTATAAATAAGAATAGACGACCAAACAAGTTAATAAAATGAACTTACGTTTAAAAACGATAGAAATTAACAGCAGTTAGTTTAATTTGAATGTGACCGAATAGATGCCTCATGGTTGAACTGTTAAACTACAAGTTATCAGGATGTCGTCCTTGAGACATCTGGGTCATCTGAATGACAATACCCAATATCCAATCTAAATCTTTTTGATGGGGTTTTCTATGTACAATGACGAACCCATGTTTATATGCTGAAATGACTAAAAACAGAGCAGTTAAGTCGTCGTACTTTCACTATTGCCCAATAATGAATAACTGTAACCGAAAAAACGACAAGCAAGCGCAAGACAAACAACAAATTGACACATCAACCTCTCAACAATCAGTTAGTAAAAATAATGTTTTATGTTGCATGTTTTTACTTCTCCCTAAGAATCGTCCACTTACTTCATGGAGGAACGCTTACGCAAAGTAGGTTAGTCGTTAGCCATGCAAATAGTGAAACATTTTTAACTTCGTGTACTGTGTTCACTTGTCTTAAACTCCTATATTCCATACAAGCGACATATCGCTGCCTAAAAATAAGACATCGATTATGAATGTCTATAGCGGTTGCCTTACCTACCTATCATTGTGGGCAATCACCTATGTTTCAGATTATCTGAGGGAGATTGGAACCACTAGCAGCCAGTTTGATGTAAACATCCAATGTTGGAACGTGTAAGAAAATTTTGGTATATGTAATATCAGTCTCAGGTTTTAATTTGGGTTGTACATACACATATTCCAAAAGTATCCTGTAACTAGTGCGGCGCTCAGTGAGTTATAAAGAATCTGGTATTGTGCTTAGTACGATATCTTCCAACCTTATTGCATTAACAGGGTAATGTATGAAGACCGTATATCTTCCACCCCTTCTATTGTCTGTAATAAAACAGCACAGTGTATCATCATCTCTGTCTAGTCCTAAATCCACTGTCGGAGACTTCCTCAGAGTTTCCATTATTGAGATGATTCCCAGTTTACTGATTAAGTCAGTCTTTCTAGGTACTGTCAATGGATTATTTTATGTGCGTGCATCGTATAATAGACAGGTCATCACATTTTGACCTGGTACGCGACAATGGAAACTTAATTCGAGATCCCCTGCATCCCGAGTCAGCGGAAAAAGTATGCTTTCGCCCTGGGATATCTACGTGGGGATCAAATAGCCGCTGTCCGAGGGATGATCCTCGATCTTTATGCTCTTAATGACTATGGTCGTTCCAAGGGGGCGATTCTGAGACATTTCCTCATATCGAGGGTGGAACTGTTGAGAAGCTTACTAGAATATCACGCCCTGGGTAATGAGATTGTAGTCTCAAGCTCTCAACCACCAGGTATGAACGAGACTATCGTCTCACTTTCCGGTTGCCAGGTTAATGTACATGCACGCTTTCGCTACTAGCCTCCCAATGAACAATCAAAGGGTATGGAGCCTGATCACAGCCTGAGCTTACGCCCTTCTGGTATCGTTCACTTCACTCAAACATGGCAACAGCTGGCCTGATTACTCACGCCAACTGTTAACGTACTTGGTCGACATTTTGGTTCAGACCATATCTAGCCTACGTATGATCCCAAATCTGTTTATCATGGTCCCTTTCGGTTTCCTAGCTCAACGTGGTTTCGTCCTACGCCCGTAGCGTTTTCTGGCCCGGGCCCCTACGAACGCCATCTTCAGATTCTGGATAAAAACCACCCTGGTGTGGCGCGCAAACTTGGGCGGCAAACACGGCACCTTGTTGCTGGTAGTTTTACGTAAAAGACCTTCATTGACAACCCGCGGATCATGGGTAGCGTTAGGGGGACATAGCTAGGAATCATTTAAGCAAGTGTTACAACAGCGGCGACGGGGAAGAAGGAAAAAAATTCAAGATGCCTATTTCAGATGATCAGCTTAACCGAATACTAAAACAACAGCAAGCACAATTAGATGCACAAATGCGGTTATTGGAGACTCTAACTCAACAGATCAACATCCAGTGTTCGAGTCCATATGCCATGCTAAATACGTCTTGTGAAGCAGTGGCAAACAGCATACCAGAATTCATCTATAATCTTGAATGTGGAAATACTTTTCTGACGTGGTTCAAACGTTGGGAAGATACATTTAGAATTGAATTCGGCAAACAAGACGATGCATGCAAGACTCGGTTGTTGCTGCATAAGTTGGGAAGCGACGAATATGCTCGTTATGCTGACCACATACTACCGAAGTTACCTAGAGAGCTTAGTTTCGAGGAGACAGTAATTCAGCTGTCAGAGATTTTCGGCGAATCATCGTCATTGTTTAGTATTAGATATCAGTGTCTAAATCTGGTGAAACACAAAGATGATGAATATGTGGCCCTTGCAGATATCATCAACAGAGAATGTGAACGGTTCAAGTTACGCTCGTTGACAGAAAGCCAGTTTAAATGTTTAATATTTATCTAAGCTCTTCAGTCACCGCAAGAAGCTGAGATCAGAACCAGACTTTTGGTTCGACTGGATCAAGACTCGAACGTCACACCCAGAACATTGACAGATGAGTGTAAACGAATACAAACTATCAGACACGACAACATGTTGACTGAACATGTAAATCCTAATTTAACCAGCAGTAGTTTCAATGCTATTACTAGGTTAAAAGTCCAGAAGCCGAAAACATCTTGTAACAAACCAACGACTGCATGTTGGTTATGTGGTGATTGGCATTACGTACGATTCTGTCCATTTAAAAAACATAAATGTCAGATGTGCAACAA